TTTATTTTTTATTTTTTTCTTGTCTTTTAGTTTTTTTTTGTATTTTTTTTTGATACAAAATCATCAATTAATATCAAGTCCTAGTTTGGAAATTTTTTTATTTACGAAGAAGCCTTCACGAAATTTGATATGGAATATTTCCCAAGGCTACGGTATCCGAAGCATATTGTTTAGATCAGACCTCCGACTGACAGAATCAATATAAATATCTTTTTGTACCTTTAATGATATATATAGTAAAATGCGCCTGTGAATGGTATTATAGATCGCTGCAGCCGATGTTAACATGTTTTCTTCCGTTTGTTTATGTTCTTACGTAGAAAGTGAGGTTACTCTATAACCAAGTGAATATGCTGCTATGGATTTTATCGCCGTCTCCTTGCGTATTTTTAAGGCTATTGCTAAGGCAGATTGCACATTAAAAGTGCTCGGCATCATTCCTACCCTGCTGTCTTGTCGCCTGCACTGAACTCAAGAGTTCCGGCCAGTGGATGCCATATTTTGCATTTAATTAATAAACACTACAGAAATCAGTCAACAGTAAACAATTAAGATGGTTTCTCAAACACGCACACATACCTACCTCACACACACACACTTAGCCGTATACTCTCATTTTTATGCAAATGTAACGGACATTGCGTGCTGATGTTACATGCAAAGACGCGAACTGTTTTTTGTTAAAACAACAACACGCTGGGAAACTAAAACAAACAGGCAATAAGAGTTAAGCTACACAAAGGTGATATAAAAATAAAAAAAAGGAGGAAGAGCAAAGCTTCGTAGGGCATAAGCGAAGTCAGAGTCAGAGTCGGACTCAGATTGAGCGCGTTTAAGCCAACAATTAGCCATGACTATGGCGTGTGGAGCGTTGTGCTTGAATGATCAATGATCTGTGCGTCGTTGATAGCCAGCAAATAGCCGGCAAGTATCCTTGCATAGCCTCGGATCAGCACCTGTGTTGTTGCTATTGTTGTTTTGTGTACTCCGGACAGATGGATGTTTCACTTGAATTGCCGTGCAAATATGAAATCAAAATGGAAAGGAAGCAACAGGCGGTCAAAGAGTTGGGCACTGCCACAAATTTACATATATATCTGTGCATAAGTTGTGTGTGTGTGTGTGTTTTTGTGTTGCCAAGTGCAAGAAGGGTTGAAGTGCTTGGCTATTTAGACAGTATGTACATATGTATGTACTCAGCTGAGTTTATATGGCGTAGACAGGAAGATTTCTTATATAAACACCGTAGGCTAACCGGAGGACGAAAGAGGTTATAGTGCTTGGCGCTCTATCGGTATGGAGTGCATACATACATACTTACATATATGCAGCAGCGTCTCATTAGTACTTTATGGCACTTCAGCTGCTACGGCCAACTCCAAATTACCATTGGCATTATGATGGTAATGATTACTATTTTAAATGCTAATTATTTTATTATTGTAGTAGTTGTTGTTGTTATATGCTGTCTGTTGAAATTTTAATTTGACTGGCAACTGCTAAAACAACTAAAGTTCCGCAATATTCAACAACAACAACAGCAAAAACTGCAATAACAATAAATACAAAAACAAAAAATGGTTACAACAAAAACAACAACAAATAACTACAACATTAAAACTTTCTACAACAACAAAAATAGCGTGCGGCGCGACAACAACAATAACATCATTTATTAGCACCATTGATCAGCCTGCATAGCTGCGTTTTATTTGCATTAAAATGTGTCGGAGTGTGCGTGTATGTGTGTGACAGTCAATATGCCTATGTATTCGCTGTGAACGTACAGATGTTGCTGGTGCTTGGGCAGACGTTTGATGTGGGTAAACACCTGAATCGGTAATGGTGCAATTACCACCAGCCGATGTCGGCAAATGGAAAAACACACACACATATACATACATACATACATACATACATATGCAAATATATACATACACACATATTTACCTTCATTTGAGACAAGTTGCTTTAGGTGCCGACAACATAAAGATGCCGTTTCGACATGGGCGGCGGAAATAATTTTCAGGTTACAAATATGATACTGCCTCAGACCTCAAAATTAAGTTGACTCAAGGATTTATTCCGACTGAAGACCGCGAAAAAAAGTTTTTCATACAACAACCTCAACTGGATCGGCCAGTTTGTATGGCAGCTATATGCTATAGTTGTTCGATCTGAACATTTTGCTCGGAGATTTTACTGTTGTCTTCGAAAAAAATCCATGCCAAGTTTCATGAAGATATCTTGTCAAATAAAAAAATTTTCTATACAAACACTTGATTTCGAACGTTCAGTTTGTATGACAGCTATAACCTATAGTACTCCGATATCGGTGTTTCTGACAAAAAAGCAGCTTCGTGGGGAGAAACGGACATGTGTAAAATTTCTGATCGATATCCCAAAAACTGAGTGACTAGTTCAGCTAGTCATAGCTAAATCAAAGAACCCTTTCTTTCCCAAACGTGAAACGCATAAGTAGGAGTTCTTAGTTACTCTTTTGACTAAAATTCTTACCAAATTTTACAAACTCGATTTTTAGAAACCAACTAAAATGAGATTCTTCAACCAATGAAACTCCACGGCATTGTCCTTTGCATAAACACCTGTCAACACTCCGTTCGCTCGCCGCCGCTGTTGCCTTCACATGTGTTGCAGGCATTTATTTCATTTGCATATTGCCTCCTGACTATGCCATAGCTCAACGGAGCGCCGCATTTGCCGGCTGCGTCGCCTCCTGCTTACTAAAGCAGACACCATTCCACACGTCTTCTTTTCACATTGTTTTTCCTTATGCGCTCATGTTTGTGTTGGCTTCCATTAGCGTTCTTTTAATTTAATTAACACAATCAAAGGCTGCACCACAACAACTCTTTCTGCAATCAGCCGCCACTCTCGTCAAAACGTCAACGACCAATGTTCGATGTGCGACGATCAGCGTTCGCCAGCGCAGCAAACGATCATTGTAATTCCTCATTTCATCACTGACTCAGTCTCGTTCGATTGCGTTAGTAGTGCTCGTACTTATTTAAATATTTAATAAACATTACTTTTATAAAACCGGCAACGCTTGCTGCCGCATATTTTGACGGCAGCGGCAGTGTCGCTTGTTGTCTCCGCTTGCCTTCGATCAGTCGATCATCGTCGTGTTTACTCATTTGGAGATTTCGCATTTGCATTTTGTCACGTCACTCAAGTTTGTCTTATTATTTCTAACTCTTCCGCGCTGCCTCCTTTTCTTCGCACTGCGCGCTTCTCTCTTTCCCACACTTCACTGTCGCTGCTGCTGCTTGCAGTTGCTGGATAAGTGCAACAATTGAAATGTTTTGTTGATTTAGGTCCAACGAAGCGCAATGATCGTACCTAGATGATAAGCATTCGTCTCCGAGGGTGATCATGATGTTGGCATTTCTTGCTGGAAGGATGATGACACGGTTCACGCATCAAATATTCGTATATTTTCTGTTTGTTTATCTCAATTAATGCGCCGGTGAAGTTTTTGTTCGGTGAGGGTGTCGGCATAAATGAAAGTAATGCAAATTTTTGATTAAGTCTTATTATAAAAGGTAGAATATTTGATCGAGGTTTTTATTTGTCATTTCATTAAATAACTAGCTGAGTCATTTAGTAGGTGTGGGGAATCTTTTTTTTATAAAAGAGACAGCGATGGAGTCATAAGAAATCTTTTGCCTCTTGTGAGAGTCTCAGGAACATTAACTTATGTTGCCACGAAGCTATAATACCGTTCTCAAATGAAAACAACGTGTTGTTGATCGGTCAGTTTCTGTGTTTCTGATCTGAACAAATTGTTCAGAGATTACACAGTTGCCTTAGACACAGCCTTCGCGATTATAGACGAGTTTACAACAGTGTTGAGGTCTTCCTCTGCTTCCCACGACGGGTACTGCGTCGAATACTCTCACAGCCGCAGTGTTTTCCTCCTTTCGGCAGCGTAGCCGTGTCTCCTAATTCAAGATCGTGCGGCTCATCGTTCTAGCGACTGCGATATTCTCCGTTGCCAGTGCGCAAAGGACCGTTAGTCTTCCGCAGAACCTTTCCAGATAGAAGAAATTATCTACGATATCGTTATGACTTTCAACAGTGACGTGAGAGCCAAATCGCGAGTGCGACAACGTGTGCTTCATATTTTGCTCGCGCAGAGATGCATTTACATATATCAACTTTTAGCTTCTGAATGTTGGCTCTTTTTGAGCACAATCAAGTTTTTATACATTTTTTTTAATAATCAACTAAATCCCACACTCGCTCTCTTTCCACTTACAGATACATGAAATATCTTTACCCCTACGAATGCGATAAGAAGAATCTGAGTACACCTTCCGAGCTGCAGGCGGCCATTGACGGCAATCGGCGCGAGGGCCGTCGCTCCAGTTATGGCCAATACGAGGCCATGCACGCTCAATTGCAAATGGTGAGTAAAGCAGTAACAATTTTCATATTTCTTCAAAACATGTATGTATTTCCGCTTTTTCGCAAATGCAGCCACAAATTGGACGTCCACAGTTGCCCGGCGGCATACAACAAATGTCGCCATTGGCGCTGGTCACACACGCCGCCAACAATCAGCAAGTGCAAGCAGCGGCTGCAGCCGCCGCCGCACACCACAGACTGATGGCGCCCTCCTTTGGACAAATGGGTCAAATGCCGAACTTGGTGACGCACGAATTGGAGCAGCGCATGGTGGAGTATATTAAATTGATGCAGGTGAAGAAGGAGCAACATAGCAACGCTGCTGCTGCGGCGGCGGTTGCGGCGGCAGCAGCGGCCGCTGGCAGCAATGTGGGTGGCGATGCAGCGACTTTGGCGCGTCTTGGAGCGACTGGCAGTAGTAATGGTGCGCACGTCAAACAACAACAGCGTCAACGTTCAACAAGTCCAGAGGCCGTTGCTCATGAGGCGATGAACGCTTTGGACATTTCACGCGTCGCGCTTTGGCAAATGTATCACAACAACACCAGCCCGCCAGTATCGATGAACGCCTCACCACAGGGAAGTGGAGCGGGGATTATCGGCGGAGTAAACACAATGAGCGTGCCAAGCTTAAACGAACAAAAGTGAGTATATGAAGCATTTAATAGACAGCGCGCCATCTGTGCGACTCAAGTGTGCAACACATTTCTTTCGGTTATTTCGGTTTGAAACCATACTAAGCACAATATTTACTTTTCCGAACTCTTTCTAGCAGTGAGGCTCTCAACCTTTCCGACTCACCGCCAAACATTAACAACATCAAACGCGAACGCGAACACGAACAATCGCCCGAACCGTGTGATCGCGACGATTTCCATAATCAATCGCCGCCGGTGAAACGTAGCGCACTGAATTTTCCAGCTGGTTTCTATTTACCGTCGAGTATGGCCGCAGCAGCCGCCGCGGCTGCCGCCAATTTCCACCAACAAAACAATAAGAGCAACAATCATCTGCCACAAGACTCCGATGGTGAGGACGGTGAGGATGGCGATGATGACACCGATACGCACAACACCACCAACAACTCAATGACACAAGACGTAGAGTCCAATCGCCCCGCGTTAAATGGTCACCATCATCAGCATCTGCATCATCATCTGCAGCAACTTCATCACTTGCCACACAACCTACAAATGCCGCATCATCAACATCTCGTCAAGAACGCCAGCGGCAATCAGGACAAGTCTGACGATTCAGCCCTTGAAAATTCTCCCTCGACTAGTGCGACTTCGACCGCTGGCGTAGGTGCTGACAGCAGCAATGGCAACAATGCTTGTGGTGACAATGTTAGCGGTCACATTTCACCGGTATCCACAAAGAAGAAACACCTGCCGAACCAGCATAACAATGGTGGCTCAACGGCCATGGATTGTAGCAGTAGTGGCGCCGGGCGTGCACAATCAAATAGCCCCAGTTTAGGTGGCGTCGAGGATGCGTTGAATCTGTTGTCGGGCATGCAATTTCGTGTGTCACGTAACGGTGAGTACAGAATAAAAAGTTTTGTTTGATTGTTGTAGATACCATATGTTGACTGATATTATTATAAGCAGTAAATATCGTAAACCCATAAATAAGAGCTTTAGTAATTTTTATGGAGCTTTGGAAACTTTGCCAAAAACTTTCTTAGACAAATTTCTTTTGAATCATTAGATAAAGCTTTCAAGGACAGATTTCCGGAGATTTTCTTTTAGTTTCCTTGCAGCTTTTGGAGCTTTTTCAAAATATATTTTCTGAATAAAACAATAATTTTAATTTCAAAGTTTTGCAATAAATATCATAAACCGGAGCTTTCGTCATTTCTGTGGAGCTTTTGAAGATTTAGATAAAGCTCTCAGGAACATATTATATTTCTGCTGAAACCTTAGATAAAGTTTTCAGGCGCAGATTTCCGCAGCTTTTTTAATTTCCTCGGAGCTTTTGGAGCTTTATCAATTTCTTTTTAAGGAAAACTAAAATTTATAATTTCAAAGTATTGTAAAATAATTTTTAAAAATCCTAGAATAATTTTTCTATTTCTCTCTCTACCACAAAGGCACCAACGCTAATGGCGCACAACAGCTGGTCGTTAATCTCGAATTGAATGGCGTGAACTATTCGGGTGTGCTTATTGCCAATACCACTAGCAATTCCAATGACGCATCACGCTCAAGTGTAAACCCTTTGCAAAGGATAAACGAAGACGATGAAAATAACGATTTGGTGGATCCGACAGCAGAGGAAGCCAAAAATGTGAGCGGCAGCGGTACAAGCGGTGCTGATGGTGACATCGAAGATGAGGACATGGCCGATTTAGCTAGCACAACAAGCAACGACGAAACTACACCCAGAAATATGAGCAAAAATGATGGCAACGGTTTGTCGGTCAACACGGCCAATAAGAGTGCGCTAAATGAGAGTAACGTAAATGATGCCGTTATGACGGCGTCTTAGACAAAAAACAAGTATGTAGAGTACCTTGAACGCAAGTGCTAAGGTGAGAATTGAGTAGAAACAGAAAATGAAAAGAAAACTGAAATCGTATTAGAAACAGAAACAGGTTTATAAACTGAAACTGAAGCAGAAAAGGAAAGGGAACTGTTTATGCCTCCTTGTAGCGCTGCCGTGCACACTACTGAGCAGCTGCGGAGCAAAATGAATTCCAAAATATCCACTACACGCGCTTCGCTTGCTAGCTAGGGGCGGAGTACCGGCTAAACGTGGAGAACTACAGCACTATAAAAATAAACTAGACGCATAAGTTAAATGTTTAGTCTAAGATTTAGAAAATTATAAAGACGCATATAATAATTGTAATTATAGCATTGCGCAAGTGAGTGATAAGTTCGTTATAATAAAATAATGCAGAAATATATTGGTCCTGCAGATGAAGGTGTTGCAGCACCAATTCCTAGAAACCCTAAAGTTAGTATAAGAACACGAAGCCGTATCTTTGTAATTCTCACTGTAATAACAGATCCAAAACAAGACCTTCTCAGGCGTTCAGCCTCGACAAACTAAAGCGCTTGGAAGCTTTCGTTGTGCCTAAAGCTTAATAAAGCGTTTCGGTGAAAGTTAAAGCTTTAGTAGCTACCAGATTCATGTCTAAATAGCAAATGTAAATAGTGACGTCTTTAAATGGCTGCAAAAAGAGTTGAACTTAACTGTAGACCGAACTTCTTTATTTGAAAAAGTTATACATATATATAATTGAAAACTGCTTAAACAGCATTTCGTTCAAACAAAGCGTAGAAATGACGCGCGTATGCGCATAAACTATAAAAAAGAATACCAAAGGATATCATTTTTTAAACATACATATGTACATACATAAACCTACTTATAAAAATACTACTGAAGTCTTGAAGCAAGCAAAAAATTGCTGCGATAATTGAGCACTAATTAACTTAAGCTTAGAAAATAATTTAATTATAAACTCTGAGAAGTTAGCTACTCGACGAAATATTACTGTACATTAAAGCATCCTTAAAGTTTCTAAAAAATATAATAATAATAATTAATATTTAATAATAATATTTAAGCACTTTTTTGTAAATTTTGTATAACTTTGAAAACGCTTATTTTATAATTTGATTTTTCCACATTTTTTGCTTTTATTTATAAAAAAAATAATAAATAATAATAAATGTAATTACTACCTATTCGTATAACATATTACCATAAATAAATCTAAGCTAAGAGTTAAGAAGTGCATGTGAACATAACAAATATGCATACAATAACTAATTGTAGGTTAGAAATTATGCTTAAAAGCAATAAAAAGAACACGAAAAAACTCTACCCTTAAGATTTCGTCACATGTAGTACATACACACACACATATAACATATATATTTATGATAAAAGCGAATGCCAACGCTTTGAAGTAAATTTAGAAAATGAATTTCATTACAAAAAAGCAATTTAATTTGCAGTTAATTTATTTTCAATAAGAACATGTTCATTCCCGCTGTGCTAAAAGGTGAATAATATTTATAAATGCTAGAAACATACACATACATAAGTTACTATGATTATCTATATTATTTAAAAATAAAGTAATAATATATTAGCAAACATTTTTTGACTTTTTCATTAGTTTCCAATTTTTTGTTCTCATACATTTTTTATAAATATTTAAATAGACTACATGCTTTGGAAAAATATTTGGGATTTGGAAGCTTTCGTATGCTAAAATCCATGCTTTGAAGCTTTGAAAGTTTGCAAGCTTCTTGAAAGCTACTGTAAACCGCAAGTGTAAGTCTTCTGTAAAACGTTTTTTGCACAAAGCCAATGTCTTTGTTAACTTCGTGCAGCTCCAAATGCATTTAAAGCAAAGCGAGCTTTCATGCTTTTCATCAAAACATATTCAAAAATAAAAAAAAAATATTAAATTTTTTGTTAACTTCGTGCTTTTGAGAGCTTTTAAGTTTTTCAAAAACCTATCGAAAAATAAAAAAAAATTAAATTTTAGAGCTCGAAAGTGCATTTAAAGCTGTTAAATTTGGTCTCATATGATTCTTATACATTTCGCTTGTACAGATGCTAACCACGAGTTGACTGCGAAAGCTGTACACAATTTCAGTTGGATTATTTGTACAGAAATATAATGATTTTTTGGCATGACCGCTGATTGATGCTATGATGAGCATAGTGGTAACAACTCATTCGGCTTTAGTAGTCGCTAAAGAATTGGTGATCTTCGTATAATTTAATATTCAAAGCAAACAGTACATAAAATATTTTGAAATTTATAATAATTTAAATTTAAGCAAACATGCGTAAGGTTGTAATGCGCTTTTTATAGAAAGAGAATATAGAGATTCTATATTATAAATACAGTTGATTTTCTTAACTCGAATCACCATAATCCAAAAAAAAACTTCGAGTTAGAGCGACTTTGACATAATTCAAGGATATTTCTATGACATTTGACTTCTAATGCCAATTTAAGAGTTCGAATTGTGGAGAACTTCGAGTTATAGATGTTCGTGTTTAAATTTAAAAATTAGAGAGAGTTTCCTTATAAATTTATATGTAATTGGATTTTTAATCCAGAGAAATTTTTAAAGCTTTCGAATGTAAAAAAATATTGAGTAAAAAATATATTAGCATGGTTTATTATTTTAGTTTAAGAAAAAAGGATCGTAGTTTATGTTTTGCCTTTTTATTAAATTTTTTTTTTTTGATATTCAGAATAATTTTTCTTTTCTTTTCATATAACGTTGTTTTGAATACGACACTTAATTAATTTTTTAAATAGTTCTTGTAAATAGAAAAATGTATATCACAATGCAACTAGAAATATATACAAGAATAAAGCAGTTACTTAAATGATTTAAAAATAAAATAATTCAAGGAGAAATGTGTGCATTAATATATTCGTGTATGCTTATTAATATTTCTTAAATAAATCGCAGTCTCTTAATACTTAAAGTAAGTAAGAAATAAATTCTACTGAATATAAAGGAAAGTCATTGCTTTGGTATTTTATTCGCCATATTTGGCTTTTTTTTTACTGTTTCAGAGGCCTTAACCTCGGTTAGTTGATTCACCAAATTGATTAAAACAATATGCTAGCCTCTACACAAAGTGAGGTCACAAGGAAATACGTAACAGATTTGAGGATTCTCAATTTTTTTTAATAACTTCAAGGTGCCTACGTTAGAAACGAAAAATAATATCTGCCAGCATGCGTTTACAGATATGCGTAACATTAATATATGATTTTTAACAGCCCGGGTCAAATTCGATTTGCGCATCTAAGCTTTGGTTTAAACATTACTGACTAAACTGACTTAAAAGCGCCTGCTCTTTAGGTTATGTTAATTATTGATATTACAGTTAAAATTATCCAACCACAGAAATTTTAATATTTTCTATATAAAAAGTGATTCAAATCATCTTTCATGGCATATCTTACATATTCTGTTACTTAGCTTAACATTTCTGTTAAAATAATTGAAATTAAACATTTGACTCACCCGTTTTGGCCACTGTGTGCAATTCGGCCAACAACAAGTATGTGCGCCTAATATGGCCGCTCGCGATTTGCTTAACTGCGATTAAGAACAGCGGTCATTTTGAAATGTCGTTGCGTTAAAGAATTTTGCAAATAAATTTTTACACTTATAATACTGTACAACTTTGTGCTACGTTTTATTAAGAAAAACCCATTTTCTAGACAATTTCACAATTTCGTTTGCTCCAGCCAATCATTTGACCAGAGAACGTCTATGATATATGATAGACGTTCTCTGTTTATACTTTACGTTCTCTGCTTTAACTATTAACGGCTGCAACTAAAACTCGACTGACTAACGGAACTTCCTACGACAATCAGATAGGAAAACATGAAGTAAAAATACGAACTTCACCAGCAGATGGCGCGCTAAAACTCTGAGATTTTGTTATTGGCTAAACATTCAAATTTGAAGGGACGGTTGGGAAGAGCTTCAAATCGCAACTTGGTTAAGATGATTTGCCTTAGCAATTAAATGATAAATTTGAGGAATTACGTTTATATACATTTGTATTTTATTGCAGAGTTTTCAAAAGCATGAGTTTGTAATTTACCCGCTCCATCCGCTTGCAATGATGGCGCTGTAATCCGTTTGTGGCTTTGCTATACTGGAGATGTATTGAATAGGAATTGCCTTTACTTCCGTAATTTTTCTGCTTGTACTGTTGTTGTACCTGCGGATGTCACTTCTCTTCCAATGTAGATTGCTTAATGTTTTGTGTGATATCCACATACAAATATGTATGAATGCATTTCGGGTCTAATTAGTGAAATAAATAAACGTGTGGTTTCTATTGGTGTAAGAAAATCATTTTCACAAAAGAAAAGTATTTAAAGTCCTTACAATTGCAGAGATATCCGTATGGCCGCCTGCACTTGCCTTTCGAGCACTGACGAAATGTAGAAAATGTGCTATAAAATAGAATAGTGCGGCCATCTTTTTAGGCCAATTCAACCGAACCATACAACAGGGTGAGTCATATGCATATTATTGTAATTTAATAAATAGTAACTGTTAAATGTTAGCATGCACATTTATTAACAGAAACTGTTAAATACTTTAAACTAAAGAGTTCCTATTGTACCGTATTGAAAAATCGCTCCTTTGTAAGTTGTATTGGGTCTATAACTACATATGTATGTGCAGTTTTTTTTTTAAAGTTTGAACATTTAATTAGGAAAAATATGTACAATAGTATTATTTAAAGTAATTGTACATTTGAAGTCTTAGCATTTAAAAATCATGTTAAATCCAGTAAGTAAATATGGTTTCCATTACCAAAGAACTACAGCGTCCTGGTGGCAAGATTGAATTAAGCCACTTTTTGATATATACTCAAAAATTCTATGAAAAGATGTGGAGACTAACGGGAGGTTTCAAGACCGAAGCATACTCTTGTAGGTTCCAAAGTGACTGATGTTCAGTGTATACTGAACTTATAGAGGGAACAATTATTAAGTTTGGTGAATGGCAGTGAAAGTGTAACAGCCCTTCGTCCTCAAACTGATTGGACCTTATCTATGCGGTTTTAGACCTAAAAAATGTACTATCGACCAGATTTTATCATGCGCCGAATTTTGGAAAATACCCGCGAAGGTAAGACCAATACCTCTTTGTCAATTTCAAAGCCGACTTCGATAGCACGAAAAGGAGCTGCTTTATGCCGCCATGTCTGAACTTGGTATCCCCGCAAAACTATTACGACTGTGTAGACGGATGTTGAGCATTTAATCCTTTCGCGCGACTTCTTCAACCTACTCTCAATAAAGTGGTAAAGTTCCTCATCATTACCATCCTGCTATATGGTGCAGAAGCATGAATGAAGCACATTATCACATTATCTTTAGGAGTGTTCAATAGAAACATTTTGCGGCAGATTTAGGGTCCTTTGCGCATTGGCAACGGCGAGTACCGCAGTCGATGGAATGATGAGAACGAGATATTTGACGACATTGGCATAGTTCAGCGAATCAAGAGCCATTGGTTGCAGTGGCTGGGTCATGTTGTCCGGATGGAAGAGAACATTTCAGTTTTTAAGGCTTTCGATTCAATACCCGCCGATGACAGCAGAGGCAGACGTTCACTCCGATGGAGAAAAAAGGTTGAAAAGGACCTGGCGCCATATAGCAAAAAGAAGAAACGACTGGCGCGCTGTTGTTAACTCGCTAATATGCGTCTAAGCGTGTCTACCCCCGTGAAGAAGAAGAAGAAGTTT